AATACATAAGGAGTTTTTATTTATCATTGACAAGTGTGTAGGGTAATTCTTTTACGGAATAAACGAAGAAATTTTTATTGCAATTCTTTGTGAATTAATTTTAGTATTTATTCCTTTATTGAAAAAGTTCGATATTTGTTGTTTAATTTCTATTTAGCTTTCCTTGTTTTTTTAGGCGGTGTATTAGAATGGGTCCATGTTTAAACAAATAATTAGGAGTAGATGGTAAAATGAAAATGCTCTCTGTGCAGCTTTAGCATCGATCGGTGTCTCCGTTTCTCTATTAATATCTCTAGTTTATATCAATTCATGTGATACCGAGTATGGTTATTTTAGTAGCTCGCGTAAGGCTCCGTCAAATTATGCGATTCACCTAATTACAACATTCTCAACATACTTTCTCAATCTCTCTTTAAATCGACGCAAAATAAAAATTTCAAGAATACCAATCAATTTTAATTTCCTTATCATTTAACGTTCCTTCAAAAAATCTCCTCGTTAAAGAAATTATAGAAAAATTAGAAAAATTAAAATTAACAATATAGCTCAACAATTCATAAAATTAGGTAAAGTCAAATTAGGCTAAATAATATGTAAGGGCCACATAAGTCAAGAATATAATTTAAAATGCAATTAAAAATCTTGTTCTTTATTATTCACAACTTTTTCGTTTAAAATTTTTCTAAAATCAACTCTCAAAAGCTCGTTCAACTGTTACACCCTTTCAACCCTGCACTCTCCCTTCTTCCACACTTCCATAAGAACCCCACACTCCTTTATTGTAACGAAACAATTCCAACAATTCTGATATTAATTATTTCTTCAATTATCAAAAATAAACTTGGAAACTTTTGATCTTCAAATCTTCTCTCGATATAATTCACCAACAATTACCTTTTAATTATTGTACTTTAAAATGGAAGAAATTTGTTATACTTTCGAATGAAATAAATTGGCAAACTTTTCATTTCTAGTTTTTGAAATTCTTCCATTTCCAAACGAATCAAATACTATTTTGGAATTTTTTGGGGTGCAGATTAAACCGTTGAACAATGTTTAACCCTAGAACACTAACCCAAGGAATACAGTGCCCT